ATTCAGGCTTAGTGCATATTGAAGTTGACAGCTTCTAGAATCTGTATCGATAGAAGTTGTAAAACTAAGTGATATAGGAGTTAATCAGTGATACACATTGTGCATTGTTCACTGCTTAACTGGTATGATTAGATGTATACTAAAGTGAATGATTTTGTTTTGTTTATCTAAATTGACTACAAAATGGGATTAGTCATTTTATTACACCTTTTATATCCATTTAGTCAAATTGTTTCATTATAGTTTATAATACTAAATTTGATAAAATAAAACATCATTCAGTCAGTGAATGATATTCGACTATGGTCGATTGTATATATAGTTTCAGTTTTAGTTTGGATAAGACAGGAGGTTAGATGGTTTAGGTTAGTCCTGATAATAATGATCTCTCAGTTGATCCAACTTTCTTTTCAAAGAGTCGACAGATGAAGCTTCAGTCATGTGTTAAGGTAATAAATTCTATTCGTTGATAATTCTATGAGTATCTATGATAAAACATCTTTTGTTTAACCAGTTATTTAGATTTCTGTTCGTTAAATGTGAGTAATGTTTAATCTAACTTTTCATTATGATAGTTTTACATTAGGAATACTTACTCGTGGATGGGGTTGCTGACCACATCGCCAACCCTCCTCCTTTACCCGGGCTTGGGACCGGCAGTAACTCTAGAAGAGCTATAGGCGGAGTTACATTAGGAATAACCAGTTATTATTTTACAAAGTGATTTACAACTTTGACATCATACGTGAATTACATTTTATTTTAAAGTAGATTATCATGATCCAATGAAGTTTCCTTTAATATTGAAGATGCAACAGGTATTTAGAGTTTGAAAACGCTTTAACCGGTAACACCTTCAAATCTAAATCGTACCCACCTGTTGAAATCAAATGTTAGAAGAAAGGAGGTTCGAAGATGTATTTGATAGGCTATCAAGATATCGAGAATCGACTAGTCTAGACTGGTTGGCGATTGCAGGAGTTGTCGAGCATGGCATTTCCACTCGTGATCTGGTACGGATGCATGACCAAGAGCCTTCAGTTAGGTGATTCCATTAAAATTAATGTGGTCAGCATCCAATGTCGAAGACTTACAAAGCTATTGATTTTGGGGATTTATTTAACGCTACAATATACAAAACCATTGAAATTTACAAATAAGCTAAGTCATTCTAGACTACATTAGTTATTTAATTACCGAAAGCTACCTTTAAACAAGCCTATTCATTACTGATATTGAGACTAAGTGAGAAGTTATTACAAAAGCCTCAAAACTTTACAACAATTAATCGATATCTATTTCCAATGAAGTCTAATTAACTAACAAGATAACTTCAATAGCTACCAAAATATGTTATTATACAAACAAGGGTGAGGTGGCGGTTGGGCGAGGGAACTTTTGTCATAAACATTACAACAATAAAAAATAAAAATGGGAGAACAGGGAAATCATTTTGATGTATGAATGTAATAGTATGAGGTGATTTCAATGTTATTATAGAATAATTGTATTCATCCATAATTAGAGAAAAGAGAATGAAAAGAAGACCACCGAACAACAACATTTGCAACAATTATTGGGATGAGTTTGTCGTCATGCAAGTAATAAGTTGATTTATGATGTATGAATTGGGACAGATATTATTTAAATTAGTTGAATTTACTAAGGGTCGTGTGAATATGAAATATCTGTGAGAAGTGAAGTTTAATGAATGAGCTCAGTAATAACAATGATTGAACGTTTAATGTTCTTATAAATTAACTAATGGAACGGAATGTAGTTAATGGTGTGCTTAATTATCATTCACAGCATACGTGGTCGTACTTTATAAAATACAGCTTGTCTGTGTCAAAGATGGTCTCCCTACTGAATCTTTTACTGGATTAGGTGACACTCAATTGAAAAACTTTCCTGGTACTGATAGTAAAATGATACCACTGTAGTTTTCACATTTACTCAGATCTCCTTTCTTTTGTATCTTGATGAGGTATCACTCTTTTCAGCTAGTCGGCACCTGTTCTTTCTTCTAAATCTTCCTGAATAGAACCTGAAGTATATTAGCAGTTACTTCTATGTGTAACTTCGTTGCTTCAGCTGGTATGTTGTCTGGTCATTTCACTTACTTAATTACCGTTAGAATTTTATTACTGAATAACTTTGCAAATATCATGCAACAATCGCTCATTGTGTACATTAGTACAAAGGGGCACTCAGTACATATGCTCCGCACAAGTCACTTCATACATGTGTGAGCTATGATATTGACCAAACCGAAGTAGGTGAATTTCGTACAGTACCACATCCAGAGTTTTTGACCTAAAGGTCTGATTCACCAGGCAGTGGAGCAACGTTAAAAGATGCAGTCCCATGGTAGCCGAGGACAATAATTGGTTCACATGCCATTTGTTTCCTCAGGATATTGGAGCCCATGTTCACCATTGGTTTGGAAACAGGGTTTCACATTTTCCCAAAGTGGACTCTCCGTGTCCACCAACTCGGTTAAAGCAATGGACATTTGCCTTTCGTGTTCTCATTTTCGTAAACAACACTCTGCCACGAGGAGACAGTGAGTGGGACTTCTCTGGTAGTGGCTGTATACTCGTGGCCATGTGAGAGCACTTCGAGTAGAAGAGAGGACTCTCCCCACCCTTGGCCGTCACGAAACTTAATTGTTATACACTTGCATCTTAAGAAAATACTAGTCTGCATAGTAATGATTTCCTGCATATTTGATCGTCTATAAAAGTCACATTCATGAATATTGTTAGGCATCGACAAAATTTCAACGCTAAACGATTAGTTAAGAGATAATTCACACTTATTAACAGCTTACATTTTAGAGTACGTTAGGAAGTTGAATCCATGAAATAAGTCGACAAGATTTGTAAGGAAATCAAGTGTAAAAATCTCCAAATTTTTATTAATTTTTAAAACAGTCTCTTTAATAAATTTGAATGATGTGATGAAAAGATCAAGATTAAATAAACTTATGCGATATGTTAGTTCGACCATCTTCTACTGCCTTCGGTAAGTTACGGCCTCACACCCGACACGCATTAGATCTACCGATTACGGCTTCTCACTAGAATTCCGAGAATTACCTCTCGAAGCTAGTCACTAGTGAGTACACGATAACTATATGTGGTTGTGGAGATTGTTGAGTTTTGATTGAGATCGCCGAATATCGTGGATTGGTTGAAGTTAGATATTGACACCGTTGGACGTCAGTTCAGTGGTCTAGAGGTTAATCGTTAACGCGGGTGACTAGAGGTCCTGGTTTCAAACCTTGTGTGAGGAATCGTGGATGTGAACTGCTGAGAAGTTCCATACTAGAACAAAACGGCCGTCCAGTGATTGTAGGTTTTCCATGATGGTCTAACACCAATCGGTTCATGATCTCAATCAAAACTTAACAATCTCCATAACCCCTATACTGATGATTCTAATCGTTTAGTTTAGTTCTCACAATATTTAGATTATAGTTGATTATCAAGATACAAATGAATGACTTGGTTATCTTTCATGTATTTACTTCTTGAAGGTACCTTTGTATTTTCCAATTCTCTTACATAAATTACATTCAATATTATGTACTTGTTCCTACTTCAGTATTCTAAAAGCTAATTGATAATCTGTTTGATATCATAATGTTTACTACATTTTATATTTGCAGTAATTCTATGTAATGTTCTGTGGAGAAAAAATAGCATAGAATTGCATTTGGTCTACATCCTTGATATATGCTTATATACCTATATCATCACATCATTATCACATGAGTCAATATTATCTACATGACAGTTTGTTAATATTAAATATGGATGATGATTATAATAGTAGTGTCGGTTATTATATTAAGTCCATATACATTTCTTATCCCATTACTCATCATATGTCTGTAACTTACTTTTGTGTAACTATACATATTGATTAACGCTTGGTTAAACGAGAGTTGGCTTACCCGCCATCTCCACCGCGCGTCGTTTTGCTTTATTCTATTCCATTCGCTTTATATACAAAATATGATGTATTCAAAAGTCCATTCTAGTTATTTGACTTATCTAAATCCGTTATTGACTAACTCGATTTAAGTCGATGATTATGTACAAGAATAGTCAATAACAAACATTCATACGATCGAATTAAAGTCAGAACTTGGATCACTAAAGTGAAGAGCCGTTTCAACAACATCGTTCGATCTAAACGACGATTAAATAACGGGCCTCACTAAATACTTTAGGAACTTCATAATGATGAATTCATAATAAGCCGATGAATATCTATTTTTTCTGTTAAATATTAAAAATTATTTGAATTTTGGATAAAAATTCAAATAAGGCTCATATTGGCATATGTACATCGTGTGCAGATTGCCTTGATATAATCTTAAGTCACAAGCTTTTTGTAAGCAATGATGGACAGTGGCTAGCAGTGGAATCCAGGTGTTGCGTTTCGTCCACCACCAAGTGAATTTAAACTTCATCCCATTGAACAAACAAATGGCTATCAGTAGCTAAGTGGATAACGTGATGGCGTACTGGGTTCGAATCCCGTAGTGAACATCAACTCTGGAATGTAGGTATATCCAGCTGACAAGTCCAAAATAGGACGAAACGCGCATCCTCCATTCCATTGCTAAACACTATCCATCTGTACAATCTTTCGTTGTACTAGTTACAAAAAAGCTCAATCAGAGATATCGTGGTTACTAACAGTATACAGTGAAAGGAATATACATTATTTAGATGTTCGATTAAATGGACTGCTAACATTGAACTGATGTTTACTCTTTATTCATTGTCAGGATCAACCAAGAATAAAGAAAAAGGGAAACTTATTGAAATACTTTATATTGAGGATTCTATATTGTACCCATTACACAATATTGTATGAAGCCATTAATCATTAAAAGTGTATACATTTTGAAGTAGTTAAACAGAAAGAAATGATTATAATAGATAATCCTCCCCCCCCCCGAAAAAAAACAAACAAACAATCAATCAATCTTCCATTTTCAATGTCATTTCCGGTGGTGTTATTGCTATTGGATAGAATTTATGCCATTGTGATATGACTTGATCTTTTGTAGCTAATACACGTTCCCAATGTTCTAATTCATTAATACTTGTATTATATTTACCTTAAATTATTCATAGAATTAAAGGAAATAACATTTTATTTTTCATTATTTCACAGAATGTTTATAATAATAGTAAATTTGATAAGGTGTCAAATATGAAGTTTAATAATTTTCATAAAGGATGATAAAAGAACTATTTACTATCATAATCTTACTGTTACCTCCAATGGAGCATAGGCCGACGAACAGCGTTTGGCAATTCACTCTGTACTGGGCCATCTTTTCTAGTCCCATCCAATTCTTGTTCATTTCTCTCATGGCTATCTCCATTTCCCGGCGTAATGTGTTCTTTCGTCTTCCTCTTCTCCTTTATTTAGCCTTGAGGATTCCAAGTGAGGGTGAGGGCTTGCCTTGTGACGCAGTTGGGTGCTTTCCTCAATGTGTGTCCTATCCATTTACAGCGCCTCTTCCTTATTTCTTCCTCCGCTGAGATCTGGTTTGTTCTTTCCCACAGTTGGTTGCTGCTAATAGTGTCTGACCAACGGATACGAAGTATTTTGTGTAGACAACCGTTAATAAACACTTGTATCTTCTGCATGATGGTTTCCGTAGTTCTCCAAGTTTCCGCCCCATACATTTGAACTCTATTGACATTTGTGTTGAAAATTATGACTTTGGCGTTAGTTGACATTTGTTTTGAGTTCCAGATGTTCTTCATTTGTAAATATACTGCTGTTGCTTTTCCGATCTGCGCCTTCACATGTTCATCAGATCCACCGTCTCCATCACTGATGCTTTCCAGATATGTAAAGGTTTTTACGTCTTCCAAATCTTCTCCGTCGAATGTGATCTGATTGGTGTATGCTATGTTGTATTGTGGAATCTTACTTTTCCCTTTGTGTATATTGAGACCTATTGCTGCTGAGGTTGCTGCTACACTGGTCGTCTTCTCTTGCATTTCATGTTGTGTGTGTGTGAGATAGGAGGGCCAGATCATCTGCGAAGTCTAGACCGTGTTACCATAAACACTGTCATAATATTGAGATAGTGGAGAAGATTTGTAGCTCCAGTGAATGATTTCAATGGAGTTTTGTTCTCTAAGCTGGATGGTTTATGCTGATGATGTTGTTCAGAATAAGGATGAAAGCTTCACAACTAAACCATCCAGCTCAGTAAACAAAACTCCATCAAAAACTAACATAATATGCTGACTTAACCGTAGAGGCATAACATTTATTAGATAAAAATGATTTTAAAATTAAAACATCGTTCAAGATAAGTAAAGATTGATCGAAAGTTTTAAGTTCTCTAATTGCAATACCTTGCTTTAATCGTCCGAAGTATGAATTACTTACTTACCTACTTACTTAATTACTTTCTTACGTCTGTTACCATCAATGGAGCATAGGCAGCGGACCAGCATTCTCCAACGTACTCTGTTCTAAGACAGCTCATAATTCTTCAGTTCAAATCACCATTTAAATAGACATTATTATTTCATGTAGTTTGTTTGGTTTCTTATTAAACTGTTCTCTTGTTATCCTGATGTAAAACAGGGGAACTTGTATAGATAAGTTAGACCACCATGGAAAACCTGGAAGCACTGGACGGCCATTTCGTTCTAGTGTAGGACTCCTCAGCAGTGCGTAGCCACGACCTGACTCACGGGTCCGAACCCAGGACCTACCGGTCTCGCGCGCGACCTCTTAACCTCTAGACCACCGAGATGGCATCTCAAAGTGTCAATATCTAACTTCATCTCTTATTTATTCTGATCATGGATCTTAAAATTTTCACTTAATATACAAGATGATTCAATTTAACATTCTATATGAGTCATATCAACAATAACAACTTGATTCTATTTTGTCTGACAATCCTAAAGTTATGTGTTGAAACTGTATTCAACGGTTTTTCAGGATTACGAAGTCTTAGACTCAAGCTGAAGATCACTTGTCTCATTTAAAGCAAACATAATTAGATAATTAAAACTTTATCAGGCTTCAGTCTAAAAGTCTGCACCATTTATATGAATATATGATAATATTACAGCAACGAAGGGAGTTTCTCAGTCAGTGACAATAAAATGTATTTCATGTTTAATAGTATTCATGGGGAAAATAAACAGAGTAGCAACATGAATAATTATTTTGACGTATGGAGTAGGTCGAAACTTCAGGAAATTAACCAGTCAGTTAATCCTGCTACCTTTCATGAGACAGGGGTCAACAACCAGGAACCTCCAACCAACTCTGTCCTGGACTGTCCTTACCAGGTGCTGCCAAATGCTATTCGTAGTCTTATTTCCCATCTTCAATTACAGACACCAAATGTTCTTAGTTGTGCTTCACATTCTTTTACTTCACAGATTCCAAGTAAGAGAGTGCCTTATGATGCATGTTGATGGTTTCCGTACAATCTCTCCTATCTACCTCCAGAGTCTTTTCCTAATCTCCTGTTGAACTGGTAGCTGACTGGTTTTCTGGATCTCGGGTGTCTTGAGTCGACAGGCGTTTTTATAAACACCAATACTTTCTTATTGACAGGGGTGGTAGTTCTCCAAGTTTCCACCCCATACGACAGAAATATTCTGATTTTTGCATTGACTATTGCTTACTATTAGGTACTGGCGGTTAACTGGGTTAATAAAATGCTTCCTCCTCCTCCTCAGTCTTCTTACTCGTGAATATGAAGTTTGTTGACCCGTTAGATGGTGGTTGGAGGTAATCTACAGAAAACCCTGGACTCGGGTTTCGTGCCACTTGACACTCGTCAGCAAGGTGTACCTGGTGCTCCCTGACGGATTCGATCTCGTGTCACCCAGCTTCACAGTCAGAGACGTGTCGAGTCACCTAGACTGGTGGCCACATTGCATCATGGTCGATAGCATTTGGTCTGCACTAATAATAAGGACTTGACACACATGACATTGGTCACCACCCAGTGATCAATCAATTGTGATTTGTTGACCCGTATCAGAATCTGATACAATGATACAATTAACCCACATCAACCTTGTGTTCAGCGTTTAATAAAGCCCAAAATACTAAGGAAAAACACTTATCTAACCTTCATTCCCATGGGAACTTAATATTTTTTTATGTAAGAACTTACCTATTTTGCACGTTCCAATTATAATTCGTTTATTGAATGGTTTTCTTTTGAATAATGAAAATTCTACAGTGATTCGACCTATTTGATACGGTTTTATATAGAATGCAAATGTTTCATTCATGTGTATTGTAGATTGTTGTTGATAAGATGCACTATGCGCTTTATTGATTAAACCATCTTCTTCTGTTCTAATAAATAATTTCACATAGATACCTAATGAAAGAAAAAAATATTTAAGTAGTTGGAATAACTATTTTTGATGCCTATAATTTTTTTATTATTAACTTAAAGAGTACAATTGAGCAAGTCATACAGTTTTTAAGCTTTTAATGGGGTTTACTCACTTACTTACTTGCCTACAACTGTTACTCCCAGTGGATCATAGAGCGTCAAGCAGCATTCTCCAACCCTCCTCACCTTTATTTAGCTGTGAGGATTGTAAGTGAGGACTTGTTTTGTGATGCAGTTGGGTGCTTTCCTCAATGTGTGTCCTATCCACTTCCAGTGCTTCTCCCTGATTTTTTCCTCCACTGGAATCTGGTTTATTCTCTGCCACAGTGAGTTGTTACTGAGAGTGTCTGGTCAACGCATCCGAAGTATTTTGCGTAGACAACTGTTAACAAACACTTGTATCTTCTGGATTATTGCTTCCATAGTTCTCCAAGTTTCCTCTCCATACAATAGAACTCTTTTGATATTTGTATTGAAAATTCTGAATTCGGTGTTGGTTGACAGTTGTTTTGAGTCCCAGATGTTCTCCGCCTGGAGACCCTCTTCGGCTACTGCCGGTCCCAAGCTCAGATAAAGGGAAAAGGGTTGGGCATGTGGTTAGCGACCTCATCCTGTGGAAAACTAACTCGCTAAAATAACGCTGACCAGAAAAAATTCAAATCATTTAATTGGATTTAAAACTGATTTATTAAAGTGTTCACCTCTACGTGTCAACCAGACTGTCATGGATAAACTGAGCTGCTTTAACTTTAAGTTAACTATATGACTGATAAGTGAAATAATTTTTCGTTATAGGAACTTGAATGAAATTAGACCGTTTTGTTAAGTCTGGATGGTCTAATAAGAAGAGGAAGATGATCAGAACTATATGATGATAGATTAGTGCAATACATTTCAAATTGTTAAGAATATTTATCTATATAAAGAAGAAATAAATGGTCAACTAGACTAGAAATGGAGGGTAAGAATGCATGAAGGAGGTTTGAATCTTTGTATGACGAAGACTTCAATAAACTTTAGTATTCACCCGACTACACGTCCGCGTCGTGCCTCCTGAGCGACTCTTACCGATGCCCACCAATCGATTACGAAACTCAGAGAAACATAGCACAATTACATTTGGAATGGAAAACGACAAAAATGTTTTTTATTCTAGGCCCGGTACTTGTGCTGTGCTTCGATGTGGCTTGTTTCTCTCCAGAACGGTCTAAAAGGCTTCACCAACTTGTTTGGCTGGAAGGCTTGACTTATTTTTACGTATAAATGTTCTTAACATGCATATGGGTGATCAGATGGTTCGAAATGCATTGCACTAATATATGTATCACATAGTTCCGATAATCTTCATCTTCTTATTACACTGTCCAAACTTTCAGTATACGGTTATGAAGATTGTCAAATTTCATTGGAATCGTTAACCAACCGGGGTGACCATTGAAAACCTGACTCACTAGATGGTCATTTCGCCTAAGAGGTCAAGCATTCGTACGCAAGGCCGAAGGTCTTGAGTTCGATTTTCTGCTTACGAGGTCGTGTATACGCTCTTCTGAGGACGAAACACCCATCCAGTAATTCCAAGTTCTCAATGGTTGTCTAAATCTGATCAGTTCACAGTTTCATTGAAAATAATTTTCATCAGTATGCTTACCTCTATTAAAGTTGGATCTTAACTATGTTTAGTACTAAATCGATCTTCTATTTACCTACTTCCCATAGAGTAGAATTTGATTTGATTTCCAATTTAGTTTTAAGTTTTACATTTTGCTGAAATTTCGAAATAAACAAATCAATTTTTGATGGCGTTTTGTTCTCTGAGCTGGATGGTTTGGTCGTGGAGCTTTCATCGTTCTTCTGAACGACATCATCAGCACAAACTTCAGATAGAAGTGAAGTGTTTGATTTTCTCCATATCCGTTTCACAGCTTGTTCTGTGCACCTCGATGTTGATTGGTTCTTGTTGACCTTAAATTTATCATTGTTCACTTCTTTGTTTTGGTTGTGTCTCTCATTGGTTTGATTTTGTTCTTATATATATGCATGATTTTCGTGATTGGTTGATAAATTGGATTGATTTCAATATGTTTGTTGATTGCTGATTGACCTGAGTGCCAGGCTTCTAGAAATTCTCTGGTGTTTTTGGAGTTTCCTCTGTCTAAGATTTCTACATTTTCCCAATCGAATGAGTGTCCGTAGTTATCCACGTGTATTGAAATAAGTGAAGAGATATCATGGCGTTTGACTGCTAATTGATGTTCATGTAGGCGTAGGTGGAGGGGAGGAAACTCCAAAAACACCAGAGAATTTCTAGAAGCCTGGCACTCAGGTCAATCAGCAATCAACAAACATATTGAAATCAATCCAATTTATCAACCAATCACGAAAATCATGCATAAATATAAGAACAAAAATCAAAACAATGGGAGACACAACCAAAACAAAGAAGTGAACAATGATAAATTTAAGGTCAACAAGAACCAATCAACATCGAGGTGCACAGAACAAGCTGTGAAACACATAAGGAGAAAATCGAACACTTCACTTCTATCTGAAGTTTGTGCTGATGATGTCGTTCAGAAGAACGATGAAAGCTCCACGACCAAACCATCCAGCTCAGAGAACAAAACGCCATCAAAATCATCCACCTGAGCTACAAATCTTCTCCACCACCTCAAAACAAATCAGTATTATACTTTAGGCTTTCCTAGAAAAGACTGAAAAGATTATGTTCTGGTTGGTACTGGTTAAATAGTATGAAATAAGTTACAACACAATCACTTGTCTAAATGACTTGAAATTATGTACGTTACATTCCATAGCCGGATCTTGGAGATAATCAGCAAGAAATTCATGATATTAGGTAAACCAGTTTCAATTTTAATACAGTATGAGATTAAAGGTACACTTTACCGACCAATGACTGTTAAGATAAAACCTAGCTCAAAGTATTCCTCAGAATAGGGTTGTGGAGATTATTAAGTTTTTGATTGAGATCATGAAGTGATTGATGTTAGACTTTCATTTACAACCTGAAAGCACTGGACAGCCGTTTTGTCCTATTGTGGGACTCCTCAGCAGTGTGCATCCACGATCCACGACATTAGCACCGTTGGATGCCGACTCAGTGGTCTAGAGGTTAAGGGTTTGCACACGAGATTGAAGGCTTTGGGTTCGAATGCCATCAGCGTGATCATGGATGCTCACCGCTGAGGAGTCCCACATTAGGACAAAATAACCTTCCAGTGCTTCGAGGTCATCATCAACGGTTGTATTACATTAATCAGTTCATGATCTCAATCAAAGTATTCCTGTTGAATGCTTCCAATTCATTCATTAGATAAAAGAAAACTTGTTATAAAGTGTATATTTTTCTATCACTTACTTCGTTTTGGTATTTTACTTATTCGTATACCAATAAGATTAATTTGTTGAATACAACATTCAAATCGTCCAGTATTTTGACTTAATCGTAGCATAAGTAAAACTTTAGATAATCGTGTATTGAAAATGATTGCATTTTCATTCTGTGGACAAATTGATGGTCGATCTTGATCGGCTAATTTTGACGTTGCAATTTTACTTTTATCGTCTGTTTCAACTTCTGTCTGTTAATTTAAAAAAAATGGTATGAATTGTTTTCAATGAAAAGTTTAGATAAATCATTTGGGGCAGTGTTCGGTGACGACTTCGAGTTACAGTATGGTAACAGATTCGAATTATCGTTATGGACTAGTGAATTGAAACTCAGTGCGGTGAGACTATAATTTATGGACGTCCATTGAGTAACGCTAAAATGACCATGGGTTATCCCTCTACTTACTAGGGTGAAATGAGAGTGATATATTAGTGTGAGGGATTAGGACTAGAATTTACAGTTGAACGTTATGTTTAGGAATTAGATTTCATGTTTTCATCACGAATTGACATCAGCTATAAAGCTAAAATGGTATTTAGCTTAATGAGTGGATGAATTTCGTGCCGAAAATCAAGATCTGCTATCTTAAATCTGATTGGCTCGTCCATAAATTATGATCTCGCTGAAGAAACATATGTCCATTGATTCTTCAGCTTTCATAGTTGTCTATTTGATTTTAGTTCATGGTTAAAGTTGACTTCGAATGGTAACAAGAATCAAGTTAAATGCTCAGTGATTGATAATTTTTATATGAACTAAACTGTAAATAGATAATTAAAGAATATTTCACTGATTGAAATCATGAGTCAATTGAAGCTAGACCACCACGGAAAACTTGGAAGCACTGGACGGCCGTTTCATCTAGTATGGGACTCCTCGGCAGTGCGCATCCACGATCCCGCACCCCGTCGGCATCCAACGGTGTTAATGTCTAACTTCAACTAATCCACGAAGTTGCACCACCGTACACCATTGTCTTCAGTGAGTTGATATCTCACAACAGACCTAGTTGAACTCCGCTGGTAACGGCTTCTCACTAGAATTCCAGGAGTATCTCTTGAAGTCAGTCACAAGTGAGCAGATGATTAAAGAATAATAATCTTACCCATTAGGGAAGTTATTGATCTAAATTAACGTTAAACAGCCATCATATTGAACCTGTTATATCCTAGTGAAGATTAAATTACGAGTAACTTCTGCCCACTATGAATAGACTAATATTCTGTATATATATTCTTCTTGTATAACTATTCATTAACTAGATTATGTATATCGATATTCTCCTTTATTATAAGTTTCATTTTGGCCTATCGACTACTGTTATACGATTTAACTATTCCTAAATTATACTCAGTTTATTGATTACAGTCTCCCACATTCACAACCACTTTTTGGCTTGATCTTGTGTAAATGTTATTTTCTATTTTATAATGTGATGTGATCTGTTTAGCTGGTATATAAATCAAGTATGTTTGAAATGATTCGCACAGTGGAAGCTATTCATAGTGTTCTGGACTCAACTGACAGGGTTAGGAAGACAAAGGATCAATAAGGACTGTTAGGCTGATCAGACCGGTCGAACGTCATTGATTTAACATAGTACAAGTGTGAATAAGTCGTATTTCGATTGGCAAATAAATTACATGATAATTAGCCGGCCTTAAAGACACAACAGAACCCTTTTGTTAATCCTCGTAAAAGATGAGTTACATTTACATTTTAGGATTCAGTGGTTAAGAATGTTTACATTTAATGAAATGTAATAACTCATAATGGTTTGTAATTTTTCATTACTAAAATTCAGGGATCCAACTGATCGGTGCATCCCAGACGAAAATACTTAACAGTTATAATTGTGGATTTCAACAACGAGGACTTGCACACCAATACAAATAGCTTCATACTTTTTAAACGAATTGGTATCCTTTAATAAGGATATATGTATATGAGGATAACCATCCTTTATTTAGTGTTCAATAAAAAGTGAATTAAGCAAATTAAGTAAGAATTTAGAGCTTAAGCTAAAAATCCTTAATGAAATTTATACCCTCTTATGTAGCATTCATCATTTAAATGAATAGTTATATGTGTCAGTCAGTAAGTCAGTCAGTCAGTAACAACGCAGGACTTCATATGTACGTACATCAGTTCAAGTTAGCATAACACATTAGCACAGAGATGCAGTTGTCAATTCGAATCCCATTGTGGTAGAGGTAGTAAAAGTATAAGCAATCATCGGAAACATTAGGGTGTGAAGATATTATTCAAGGAGTATAATCCAGTGAAATAAATTTGGAAAGAGAACAAGTAAAGGGACATAAAGAATTCAGAAGATTATAATTTGAGAGAACACAAAGAGTGTATGCACCTACGCCATGGCGAACGATTTTGAGCCATGTCATTCAAGGTCTCTAACCATCGGTTGCTATCATCTAGTGGATGCCAACCAGTTAGTCTACACTTACCAACATGGCTCACTCAGTTCACCTATCAGTGATTTCATGGAATTGTGTCATGAAGAAGATATACGATATATCATACATATTGAATATGGATACACTACAGAATCACGGACATGTATCCTATCTTATGCATACAGAAAATTGTTGTTCAAAGGAACTCATGTCAATAAGAGAGGGAGTATTAAAACGTAACTTCAACTATACAGTAAAATAATAACTCTAAATAAATATCATAGAACCAATAACGAGTATCCAATATGATACACATTAGTAACTAAGTGTTTGTTTATTGAATTCAGATCCAAGTGAAAAAATAAACTTATTAAACTAAATCACAATATAATGAAGTTGTGATGGTTCATAAGATAAATCAGTATTCATTTTCTATAAAATAGATTATCGGATTAAAGTTCATAATCATACAATGATGCATAATGACAATGAACTACATTCTTAGTTATAATTCGTTATGATTAACTAGGACAATATTAGGTAAGAAGTAACAAAGCCATTGATATTTTAGTGGTGAAATGACTTAATCTTTACAGAAAAGAGAGAATGATGAATAACGAGAAGATCTGGAGTTGTGTAGAATCTTGTCGAGCATTAAGATCTCACTGTCATATAGACCTATGAAGCTGTTATTATAACACATAACGGAGCATAACCATCTTTCATATAAAATCAAGATAGTTAACAAATTATAAGATTGAACAACTTCATCAGCAGAAATAATACGTCAAACTGTAACTGCAATATCTACCAGTTGGTCTTATGTTGTATCAGTCTATCTTCTAGCTGTGATTTAAATTAGAGAAATAATTTAGCTCATACTACATGACTGTCATGCACCTTTACCAAAGACAGAATCTATGGATACACACTAAATGTGTTTTTTGAATATAAGACGACTACGAGAGGAGACAGTTTACTTCTACAGATTGTAAACCAATATAAATCTTTCTATAACTCAGGATGTGAAATAGTAATAGGTGTCCTCATTAGTGTAGCAATGAAGCATTCGAGATAATGCCGCCTTTGTTTGCTCAGATTGACACAAGTCATGTAATGAAATTCAGCACGATTATTCCATTGGTTTATGTTTCAATGAGCGACAAAAGAACGAATTCTTATAGAGTAATTTCAAACAATTAAACGAGCTCCATCATGATTTACATCCGTTAACTATCATGACTAATTACGAAATATCAGAGTTATCAGAATTTCGACAATTAGGTACAATTAGGTCTCCATTTCTATCTGATCCAATTTATACAGAATAGACTTGAGAAACCGGCAAACCTTCAACAATAAATGAAACGTATTGTGAAACATAATGTAATGTTAACTGATTTACACTGAACATCCATGGTCCGCTTATCTTTCTAAGAATTCTAAAATAACTAATTTAGAAACTGTAGTTACCATGGCAATATAGATGATCCTCTTCTTAAACTGTAGTCAATAAATTATTTACAAAAACTCTTTATAAATCTGACATATTCCTTCTCATAGTATTAATTTTGAGAGATGATGAACTTCGTCCAGTACTTTCGGTTTATATCAGTCATGAATGTCTATTGAACACTTGGTATGTAAACAAAAACCTTATTTTCATATGGTTTGTGCTTTAGTTATCATGGTTAAACGGTGTTCTGAAGACGATCCCAAGCATAATTAGATTCCCCTATAGTTGTTTAGTGAACAAGGAATTTTCAGCATTTCAACTAGTAATTCAACTAGTGATTATCATTATTAAATTACTATGTTAATAATTTCTACAAGTCTTGCTTAATTATATATAAATTAAATGTATGACGAGGTCAATATTTTAAATGTAGTTTGACTATCAGAGAAAAGTATCTTGGGTCCATGCCTTAGTAACGTACAATCTTCTAACAAGACTTAATATCAATTTATACAAATGAGTTCTCATAAACTATGTTAAACTCTCTAAAATACACCTTAAATATAGCATGAATTGGTTGAAGTTAGACATTAATATGTAATAGTCTTATCAAGCCTAGTGAAGTAGCTGAAAATTGAAATCTGAATGTTCAAATGAAAGGCACAGAATGATATGGGTCAACTCTGTTGTTCATGATTATTCTTTTAATAAATTTCTACTACTTAATTAAAAATAAGTAGGTTGAATAATTTACAAAAACAAATTACCGTCAATTCCAATTACCTTTGTTAATTGCAAATCATGTGTAACCGGTAGAACATGTATTGGTTGAAAATTTACTGTGAGAATATTTTCAATATTTAAATTTAAATTTTCAAATGGTAGAAAAGCTTCTCCACACAGATATTCTTCATTTCCGAAAAATCCAACGATACAACAAATAAGCGTAGATTTGTGTATAGTAACTTGACAATAAGTCAAACAATAAATGTATAGAAGGTAAATACCAGAAGAATTTGAAACATTAAAAAAAAACCCAGTTAAGAATTAGAGAAAACATTTCCATGCACCTATCACTGTGACTCTTTCAATACAAATATCATATAAGGAGTAATATACAGCATGACTAGACAGAAATATAGTCACTAGACTAATATACATCTAAAATTGAGAATGGCTTTCTGTAAAGAGGTTGAGGAGAAAGGCTTGTCTATAAAACAGGTTGCAAGTAGATTTTTTGAAGTAGTTTTACTGATCATTAAGACATTAGAATGGGTAGTTTGAGTGGTAAGAAAATACCAAATCAACATTAAGATAGTGGAAATGCGAATTCATCGTCAATCAAGTTAGTTCCTGTAGTGATTGTGAAATATAAAACTATAGATAAACATATTTAGTTTATTTATTTATTTGAGCACATAAATATTGCTATAAAGGGGCAGCGAATACATATGCGCCACAGAAGTCACATGATTTTTATGTGGGCTGTGATACTGCATGGGTGACCAAACCGAAGTAGATGGTTTTCTTGGAATGCCATACTCAATGCCTTTAACCTAAAGGTCTGATTCACAAGGCAGTGGGTTAACGTCAGGAGATGCAGTCCGATGCTAACCGGTGATCGACAATTGGTTCAAACACCATTTTTTCCTTCAGGATACTGGAACCCATGTTTACCATTGGTTTGGAATCAGGGTTTCCCAAATAACCTAAGTGGACTTTCCGTGTTCACCAACCCGGTTGATGCACCAGACATTCTTTTTCATCCTCTCAATTTCGTAAACATCAGTAATGCAGCGAGAAGGCGGTGAGCGGGAATTCCCTTGCAGTGGTTAAATGTTCGTGGCCATGTAAGAGTATTTCGAGAGGGAGAGCTGAATCTCTCCACTCTGTTCTGTACCAGGGCATTTGCGGGCAAATTGTAGTGTTAGGAGTAGGATTCGAGCACACGCCCACTGAGTGGATTGTGACCTGATTACTTCCGCTTGAACCGCTCGACCGTCCTCACATATTTGTTACTAGCCGCAATGAATGACTTTTGAAGTGCAATAGAACAATAAGACAAGATATTGTTGAAGTAAAAAAGATCATTGGAGGTATCACTGAGCTAAAATTTGAACATAACTCAAAATAAAATGCTTTGGCATTATTTTTTTCAACAAAGTCACTGTGATTTGACTAAATAGAGAAAAATATATATCGGAAGTAGAACATAACATGTTGGCTATTATCCTTGAATTAAACTGTAAAACATGATTATAGCCACTTGATGACGAATTAAATGGATTCTTCATTTATCAAGAAATATTTGAAACCCATCTTTAAAACGAATAAGAACAGCTTTTTGATTGAGATCATGAACTGATTGATGTTAGACCACCTTTGGAAACCTGAGAGCACTGAATGGCCGTTTCGTCCTATTGTGGGACTCCTCACCAGTGCGCATCCATGATCCCGCTCGCGGGATTCGAACCCGGGCCTTCAGGCCTAATAGTAATATCTCTTTAAATAAATAGAATTTCTCAGAGAAAAATTCATCGTTAAAGTTGGATTATTTAAAGTATTACTTGTAAAATTTACGTTTATGAATAAAGTTTAACACTGAGTTAGGTTCAGTCAGTTTACATACAGTCTTAAGTTGACATTTTGTGCCATATAATCAATGAGATTGCTCGATTTAACATTGAAAGTGATATAAACTGAAGATTATTTTCAACTTGTGAGCAACCTCTTTATCGAATAGTGTAGTAGATATTACAGACCTTCAGGTGGACCTGATGCAGATGTGAATGTGCGGATCGGAAAAGCAAGAGCATCATACCTACAAATGAAGAACATCTGGAACTCAAAACAACTGTCAACTAACACCAAAGTCACAGTTTTCAATACAAATGTCAAGACAGTTCTACTGTATGGAGCGGAAACTTGCGGAACTACGAAAGACATCATCCAGAGGATACAAGTGTTTATTAACAGTTGTGGGAGAGAAAAACCCAGATTCTAGCGGAGGAAGAAATCAGGAAGTGTTGGAAATGGATAGAACATACATTGAGGAAAGCACTCACCCTCACTTAGAATCCTCAAGGCTAAATAAAGGAGAGGTGGAAGACATTACACCGAGAGATGGGGACAGATATGAGGAGAATGAACAACAATTGTATAGAACTAGAAAGGAAGGCCTAGACTAGAGTGGGTTGTCGAATGCTGGTCGGCGGCCTACGCTCCATTGGGAGTAACAGGCGTAAGTAAGTAAGTAAGTCAGAAGGACTCTTTCAGAACAAGAAGAGTGAACAAAACATTGTTCGACAACTGATAAACGTATAACGGAAAAATAATCCCAAGTTGAAAGGATTTAGCATGTTTCATTTTTACTATACATCTAATTGAAGTTTTCGTTCATTTTTTCTAAAAACATCTTTTGTAATCATATAGATGTTTGGCAGATCGATTATTCGACATCAGATATGTAATTATCATCCAAATAATCCCAAGTTAATAGGTTAGATAATTTCAAATAAAGTGAGCGTTGAGTAGATTGTTATTAATAAAAATAATATACTTTTGTAATATCCCAATGAGTAGAAAAAATTGAATTTTCTGGCGTTTCGTCACTTAGTGTAGGCCGCTTCTTCAGAGAATGAACAAATAACCAAATCAAAATTAATCCAAGTTTAAATAGTACAAAGGAACAAAACAAGAATATTAGGTGAGATCAATCAAAAAACCGATTTAAATAAATCAATATCATGTCATTTCGGTCAACATGATTCATAAGCGACATGCATGTCAGTCTGTGTGCGTTTATTTGCATGTGTGCAAGGTTAGGGATAAAAAATGTGTGACCTTTATGGTGAGAAAGTATAGAGTGAAATGTGACATAGTAGCTTGGATAGATAATCCAAGTTATTGATTTTGTGTATGGGCTGACCTACTGTCCGAGTGCCCAAACTGGTTATTTATTTGCTCTGAAGAAGTGGCTTACACTGAGTTACGAAACGTCAGAAAATCTCATTTCTCTACTCATAGAGATATCTACAAATATATTTGAACGCTTCACTTCTATCTGAAGTTTGTACTGAGGATGTCGTTCAGAAGAACGATGAAAGCTCCGCAATCAAACCATGCAACTCAGAGAACAAAACTCCTGAGCTACAAATCTTCTCCATCACATTGCTTTTATTTAATCCCAACTTTTTAACATTGAAACATACTATTTTACGACTAATTAACTCGGATTTGACTAAAAAAACAAACGAACAAACAATAAACATACCAAGAGGGATTTGGAATTTCCATTCTTCTAAGTATTCTGGATTTGGTGCTGTACGTATTTTACTTTGCCAATATTGTTTATTATCTGGTTCCATAGATAAGTTAATCTTTTATGATTTGTTTGTTGTTTTTTAAAGAAAAAGAAAAAAAAGAAATGAAAGTATTATGTTAAGGAAATAGCAAATTAAATTCTCTTCTGCTAGGTTCGAAGTTATCATGAGTTCACTTAATCTGCGAACGAGAGCAAAGACTCAGTGACCAAAGACCAGTAAGCTAGCTATTGATGCGTTCCAGCCCCACTAACTAAAGGGAGAAGACCAAGTTCGGAATGGGGTAGTATATTCTGCAAAACAGCCAGAAACGAGCGATCACAACAAACACAATTCAAAACGTATATATACATCACAAAATCGTCCTTGGGGAGAGTTACCAAATAGCATACAGAAAGATGCAACGGACCAATAGCATTTAAGATATTTCCCAGTGGGAAACACGACATGAAGGTGACAAGAGCACCTTTGGCGCGAAAACAAAGAAATTCAAATTTTCTAAATAAAATTACAAAATTAGGTCCTTTCCCAAGTAAGTTCTCAAGATCCAACGTCCCCAACATGTTCATGAGAAACCAGTTTTACTTTAGAGAATAAGTCAAGTTAAGGTGCTTTTAATTAAATTCTTATCTTCAGAAGGGGTTTTGTGGAGATTTTTTTAGAAATTTCACTGATTGAAATCATGAGTCAGTTGAAGCTAGACCACCATGGAAAACTTGGAAGCACTGGATGGCTATTTCGTCCTATTGTGGGACTCCTCAGCAGTGCGTATCCACGATCCCGCACCCTGCGAGGTTCGAACCCAGGACCTATCAGCCCCATACTAGGACGAAACGGCCGTCCAGTGCTCCCAGGTTTTCCATGGTGGTGTAGCTTCAACTGAATCATGATTTCAATCAGTGAAATTTCTTATTTGTTTAGATTGAGAAAGCTATTTAACTTGTTTAGCAACATAAGTATTCAGAAAAACATTCACACCTTCTAGGCAGTATATATGAAGTTCAATTAATAATTTAATGTAGGATATGTGTTTTATTCTATTTGGGAATCATCAGATGGATACATCCTCGGTTCCAGTATTGAAATCCACTGTCGTATTCCAATGAGAAACGTTTTCCAAGGAATCTACAAATTACTTAACACACTTTATGGTAGAAAATTTATGCATCTAAGAGTGACATGTAAATAGGGCATTTACGCATTTTTTAAAACGGTACTTCATTATGTCATAGTAATCTTGTAGGAATTTCTGATAGATTCTAACAATTTTACATCAATTAATACAACAAACAAATGGATTTACGTCTAAATGATGAAAAAAGCAACTTATTTTTGACAAATGATTTAACCACTTATGCTAGATCAAACAAGCTTATCAATTTAATGTGCAATTATCCATCTATCAATTAAGGGATGAGTATACTGCGCGGCAGTTCGTTCCGCTCTATTTTACGACTACGAAACGTCGCCATTAAGAGTAGAAGATACTCATTACTAGTATTTAACCACAGATGCCTTAGAAATATTGCTCGCATCTACGATCACCGGATTAGTAGTAGTGAGGTTAGACGTAGGGTATTAGGGAATGATGATGGTAAACCAGTTGATGAGGTTGTGAATCTTCATCTACTGAGATGGTTGGGCCACGTGTTGCGTATACCTGAATACCGATTACCACGACGCGCAATGCTGACTAGTGTTGGAGACAACTGGAAGAAAGTTAGAGGCGGTCAAACCAAAACGTGGCATCAGTCGTTGAAGTCACTAACTTCTAGTCTGAGCCTTGCTGATAAATTCAGACTACTTGGTTGGTGTCCGCATGACTATCGTAACCAATGGTTGGAGACTCTTGGTGACATGGTTGGGAATCGATCACAATGGCGTCGGTGTATACACTCTTTGTCTTCCTTTAAACTAAGAGATTAAAATCGGCTAATATCTTTCTTTCTATGAACTAACTCTTTCTTCATGTACTATATTATAATATGTAATCTTTCTTTTATATATTACCACCATTGAATTAACTACTTCTATGAATCCAGTGTTCATCTTGTTGTGCTAATGAGGTATGGCAATTTCGACCGATGTATATATGTGCCTGGTCCTATGTTGTAAGTGACTAACTTACTGACACTTAACTGTTCATTGTAGTACCTTAATCTAATAAAGAATTTTTTATCCAAAATATTTACCCTAATGAAATTTCTGTGATGTTTTCACGCCGGCTAACTTTTAAATAATGCTTGAATACAAACATTATACTACTATTAAGTAGGTGAACGTTTAACGTAAAGTTACATGCTCTTGAAAACGTATGATCTGTACCATCTCACAATATAACAATTCAGTTGGGGGGTTTAATTATACTAATAGTAATGAATCTATAGATACGACAAAAATGATCATAGAATCACTTTGACATACTTGATAAGCTGAGGGTCCGCCAGCTTCTCTGCCTGGTACATTGTTTGCACGTATAACATTCACATGCATTTCTTGTTCTGCATCATTATAATGGACAGATAATTGCAGTCTGCTTGAATTCTACAAGGTGTGAAAATAAATCAGTCTATTAGTTCAGTATACGGCCCAGGACAGAGTGGGATGTCGAATGCTGGTCGGCGGCCTATGCTCTATTGGGAGTAACAGGAGTAAGTAAGTAAGTAAGTTCAGTATGCGGACAATTTTATTTCTTTAAATGAATTAAAGAAAATTCATATTCATAGTCTCAAACGGATTGTTCTGTAATATTGTTTTCTAAGATTCTTATCTCTTCCACTTTGAAGGGAATATAATGGAAACATCCCATCAAGTATTGATATCACATATCTCTCTATTTATCCATTGAAACGAAGTTACTTTAGTTTGGAAAAATATTTCATTGTTAAGCTACATTTAATAGCTAGTGATACCGTAGAAATACTGTACTGAGTATTTTTTGGTATCGCACGCACCTCATAGACAACTTTGATGCCTGATGTTACTTTTTAAAAGTAACTAGGAAGGACCTGATAGCTCTTTCTTTTTAGTACGGAATTGCTTTTAAGTACTTATTCACGACTTCACTAGAGATCGAACTCTGGACCGGGTTTCTTAGTGAGTGACATTTGTAGATTACACACTTGCTGCAAGAAAATAACCGAAGATAAATGAAAAGTGCTCTGTTCAACATAATAAAGGGAACTAAATGTAAGTAGCAAGAATTTAATTACTATTTCGCCTTAATATGAAACTCTTCACTAGTATACACCCACAATTTTCCTAGGGATTGAAAGTATAACCTCTAGGTTTGGGGGATATAACGATACTTTAAAACTGCCAATTTGGAAGATATTTGTTTACAGTTTTGATTTCAGTAAAGTCGAGATAATGATCGAGCATTACTGATTTTCTCTGCCTTCAGATAAAATTTAGTCCATGATGTCGGCTAAAAATTGAAAAATCTTCATGAACTGTCCAAGCTACCGATTATGCTTCGGTTTAGGTTGACTACTAAGCTAATAAAATTTGTTAGTATTTACAATTGATTGATCACTAGGTGGTGATCAATGTCATGTATGTAAGCTCATTCTTAGCGCATATCGAATCCTATCAACGAAGTTGAAATGTAGTCACTAATCTAGGTGAATCGACATTGCGTGCACTATGTTGGAAGTAGTTGAAAGTAAACCTTGGACCTAGGATTCGTGCTACTTGGTACTCATCAGCAAGATGTATCTGTAATCTTGAGGGAACTGATGTTCCCTTACGGATTCGATCCCGTGTCACCCAGCTTCACAGTGAGAGACGTTATCACTGAGCTATCCAGTAACATCTCTGATAGTGAAGCTGGGTAATACGGAATCGAATCCGTAAGGGAACATTAGTTCCCTCAAGATTACAGGTGTATCTTGCTGATGAGTACCAAATAGCACGAATCCTAGGTCCAAGGTTTATTGTTGACTATCTCCAGCCACTATCTGTTTTGTCGACAGTTTCTTTTTAAGCTCGACCGTACATACCACCTCTATGTGTACTATAAAACAAAACTAGTAATTACCGGTAATGTAAAGGATTTGATCTCATTTTTGTCATTGTCATCATCTTCATCAGAAAAATATTCCCCTGTGTCTGTATCGTCAGAGGATTTTGGTTCATTGGTTAAAAGATCCAATTCTGCTTCATACTCTTGTATTGAAAGAATTTTAGGCTTTCCACCTTTTGAGGCAGTAGATGTTTTTCTCTTGTTGTTTTCGTTATGAGAACTGGAGAGATCTTCTGAAGCTAAAATTTTTTCAGATAAAATAGAGTGATTTCATATAGAATAGGAATGGATGTACAGAGTTGTCTAGCAATTAGAAAACTACCTTGGTAAACTAACTAGACAAAGAATAAAGGAAGGTTAGAAGGTTATAAGTAAGTAATTTTTGAATAAACAACATGCAAATGTCACCACAAACGTAAGTTGTTTACATTTGTACAAAACACTGTTGGATACTTCATGACAATACTAGTTTCCAACCCAGAAAGAATTATGTACTAGCTGAGAAGAGGTTTAGGAGAAATGCAACAAGTTGAAGATCTGATGAAGTTATACTATCAACCATCCTGAATGAAAGTTTAACCTACGGATTATGAGCTTCTCTTGTAATGCTGCTTTATAACAATTAGTTAGGAGAGGTTAACTCTATAAACAGACACATTATCCCTTTCTACTGCTAACAATTGATGCCAACATCAAGGTTTGTAAACCTCAGAGTTGATACAAGAATAGATGGAACAATCATTCACAAAAATTATGGGTTATAGATACTAAAAGAAGAAAAACTCTTTCATTGTAAAGGTGATCGGTTAGCAGTTGGCATTTTTTAAACAGCATTCAACCGACTGATTTTTATCTCCATCGACGTAATACGCTTTAACACAGTAATCTTTTGGTTAACATAGTTTATATAATTAACGGATAACATGTGCCAGTCCAATATTTACTGCTAAGTATCATTTAGTATTATTTTACTGGTTAGCGTTTTCTTCTTAGCGAGTTAGTTTTCTACAAGATGGGGTCGCTAACCCCATGTCCAACACTCCCCCTTTATCCGGGCTTGGGACCGGCAGTAGCCCCCGGGGGGCATATTAATATTCATTCAACAGTCATATTGTTGATAAATGACAATTACTGTTTTTTATGTAATAAATATTTTATTAAAAGGGTATAAACACAAAGGTATAAATCGGTTAAAAGAACAATAAACGCCAATGAAAACATACACTACTAATGGGCTACTACTTGGAAAACTACATGAAATACAATATGCTGAAAGTTCAAACTCTTTATCCAGTTCTAATCTATTCTACTTGTTTTTTTTTCCAAGTATCTACCTACATTTTTTCCATAGTGTAGGGTTTTTAAGAGCAGTTGTTAATGGGACAATAATTAATACATTTCTACCAACAGTTTCTAAAACAGAGTTACTTTTATCTAGAAAACAAAAATGTTGAAAAACAAAGAAGAAATGAAATGAAATAAATAAAGCAAAGAAACGATGTACACACAATCACTTTTGTTTTTTAGATCTTGATCTGGGAAATGAAAATTTCACAGATTGAAATCATGGGTCAATTGAAGCTAAACCACCATGGGAAACCTGGAAACACTGGACGGCCAAATCGTCCTAGTATGGGACTCTTCAGCAGTGCGCATCCACGTTTCTGTCTGGCAAGATTCGAACCCAGGCGCCTAACCAACCAGACCACTGAGCCGGCATCCAACGGTGTTAATGTCTAATTTCAACCAATCCACGAAGTTGCGCCACCGTACACCATTGTTTTCAGTGAGTTGATTTCTCACAACAGACCTGATTGAACTCCTCTGGTAAAGGCTTCTCACTAGAATTCCAGGAGTACCTCTTGAAGTCAGTCACTAGTGAGCGGGATCGTGGATGTGCACTGCTGAGGAGTCCCATACTAGGACGAAACGGCCGTCCACTGTTTCCAGGTTTCCAGGTCTAGCTTCAATTGACTCATGATTTCAATCTGTGAAGTTTCTAAAATTTCCACAAACCCCTTCTGAGAATGAAAATTTGTCGATAAAATCTATCTGAATGTGTGCTCTCACTCTCTGTCTGTATGTGTGCATATCTATCAATCTATCTATCAATCTATCAATCTATCAATCTATCTATCTATCTATCTATCTATCTATCTATCTATCTATCTATCTATCTATCTATCTATCTATCTATCTATCTATCTATCTATCTATCTATCTATCTATCTATCTATCTATCTATCTATCTATCTATCTATCTATCTATCTATCTATCTATCTATCTATCTATCTATCTATCTATCTATCTATCTATCTATCTATCTATCTATCTATCTATCTATCTATCTATCTATCTATCTATCTATCTATCTATCTATCTATCTATCTATCTATCTATCTATCTATCTATCTATCTATCTATCTATCTATCTATCTATCTATCTATCTATCTATCTATCTATCTATCTATCTATCTATCTATCTATCTATCTATCTATCTATCTATCTATCTATCTATCTATCTATCTATCTATCTATCTATCTATCTATCTATCTATCTATCTATCTATCTATCTATCTATCTATCTATCTATCTATCTATCTATCTATCTATCTATCTATCTATCTATCTATCTATCTATCTATCTATCTATCTATCTATCTATCTATCTATCTATCTATCTATCTATCTATCTATCTATCTATCTATCTATCTATCTATCTATCTATCTATCTATCTATCTATCTATCTATCTATCTATCTATCTATCTATCTATCTATCTATCTATCTATCTATCTATCTATCTATCTATCTATCTATCTATCTATCTATCTATCTATCTATCTATCTATCTATCATCTATCTATCTACTATCTATCTATCTATCTATCTATCTACTTATCTATCTATCTATCTATCTATCTATCTATCTATCTATCATCTATCTATCTATCTATCATCTATCTCTTTATCTATCTATCTATCTATCTATCTATCTATCATCTATCTATCTATCTATCTATCTATCTATCTATCTATCTATCTATCTATCTATCTATCTATCTATCTATCTATCTATCTATCTATCTATCTATCTATCTATCTATCTATCTATCTATCTATCTATCTATCTATCTATCTATCTATCTATCTATCTATCTATCTATCTATCTATCAATCTATCTATCAATCAATCAAACTATCTATCTATCTATCGATCTATCGATCTATCTATCTATCTATCTATCTATCTATCTATCTATCTATCTATCTATCTATCTATCTATCGATCTATCTATCTATCTATCTGCCTATCTAACTAACGATCTATCTATCTATCAATCTAACTATCTATCTATCTATCTATCTATCTATCTATCACATCAGTTAGAATGCTTCATAAAATGGTATTGTTTGCTAAACTTACATAAATCCAGTTGCTATGTCACAAGATTTTTAAAGAAAAATACACAGCAAAATCTCATTAAACAAATTGAACTTTACTTAATAAAGGTAATCTTTGACAACACAAGTGAGAAGAATGACATTTCAATGAAGAGAAATTTTCTTCAACATAGATTCTTACAAAGTTTTATAATCAATCCTCAAAGGCCATGGGTACGGCCGAGAGTGAAGAGAGTCAGCTCTTCTACTCGAAATGCTCTCACTTGGTCACGCGTATACGGCCACTACCACGGAAAATCTACTCACTGCCTTCTCGTGGTATTACTGTTGTTTACGAAATTGAGAGGACGGAAAGTGAATGTCCGGTGCTTTAACAGGGTTGGTGGACACGGTGAGTCCAACTAGAGGAATTAGAAAAACACTGATTTCAAATCAATGGTACACATGGGCTCCAGTATCCTGAGGGAACAACTGGCGTATGAACCAATTATTGGTCACCGACTACCATGGGATTGCATCTTCTGACGTTGCTCCACTGCTCTGTGAATCAAACCTTTAAGTTAAAGGCTCATGCAAACTCTACGCCATAACTGTAATAAATAGCTCTATTTGCTATATGAGTTATTATACGGGTAAAATAAAGACTGATGTTAATCTGATTAATCTATTATGAAACACACTACACAATTTAATCCATCATACAGATAGAAATATTCTGTGCTAATTCCTAAATATCAGTCAGTTACCCAACGTCAGTCAGTGAAAGGTAGGACCTAACAAACATTTTCATTGGTTCAATTTGTACATAATATTAGCATAGGATGGTGAAATTATCGAGTTAAATCCCAGAGAAATAAAAGTATTGACAATATTTGTAGTGAAAAAGATTAAGCATACAATGAAGAAACAAAGTATAAAACTTAGGGACTAAGGATAGAAAGGAGTGAATGAATCCGCCTCATCTTGATATATTCAGAACCTTTTCGTCTGACGTCTACGACCACCGGTCACGATAATTGACTGAACCCGAACCAGGAAGTCTAAACTTACTTAAATAGATTATTCCAAAAGCCAGCGACCTTATGGAGTGATAACAATATGTCTTGGTCTAGCTGCCCCTAGCTTTCTTCTCACCTACTTCTACATCAAACGAGATCGTCTTGTTGAAATATGCGGTGGTTGAGCATGCATAACACGCATCCCAATCACCTCATTGATTGAGTGATCACCCTACTACCTAAGCACACGATTGTCTCCTTGATGGTCTAAAAAACATCAGTAATGATTTGAATACATTTATAACTGAATACTAGTAACTTATGAATATCTTTTGTTCTTAATGACCATGCTTTTCAGATAAAATGGAACAGTGCAAACTGATGCTCAGTAAACTTGTCCTTTGGTTGGCAGGCAGATAACTTAATTAATTTCAATGGTTGAGATCATGAGTTAGTTGAAGCTAGGCCATTATAGACAGCCGTTTTGCCATGTTGTGGGACACCCCAGCAGTGCGCATCCACGATCCCACCCCGCAAAATTCGAACCCCGGATTAATCTGTCTCGCTCGCGATCACTTAACCTCTAGAACACATACATTAAATCAGTTAAAAGTATTCTATGTTTAGGTTTGTTAAAAAAATATTCACAAGAACTCTTTTGAGTGTATGTTCACTGTAAATCCAAAGATGATTACAACAGTCTACAAGAGTAAAATTCACTTGGTATTGTTTTACCTGAATCTTCCAATTGATATTGAGGACTGTAATTGATCAGTCTCTTACCAGCATATGTGCATACTGTGCATATTGCCTTAATTCGCAAGCATTATAAGCAAAGATGAATAGTGTTAGCATTGGAATCTAGTTTGACGCGCGTTTCGTCCCATTTGGGACTCGTAGGTTGAATGTACCTGCACCTCATTGTTGATGTTCTTTCTGGGGCTCAGATGCAGTACCGTTCGCTTCAAACACCATCGCGTTATCCACTTAGCTACTAAGTCTACAAGAATTATTTTGAAATATTCATAATCTTAATTAGTTACTGGAATAAACCACATTCATTAGACAAGTAGCTTTATTCCAGGATCTAGTAAAGATTTTAAGTTATAAAAATGTCAGATGGGTTTTGTGGATATTATAGTAATTTCAATAGTTTAGATCATGAGTCAGTTGAAGCTAGATCACCATGGGAAACCTCGAAGCACTGGACGGTCATTTCGTCTTAGTTTGGGACTCCTCAGTAGTGCGTATCCACCACCTCGCCCCCCGCGAGATCCAAACCCAGGACCTACTGGTTTCGCAAGTGAGCACTTAACCACTAGACCACTAAGCTGGCATCCAATGGTGTTAATATCTACCATCCATGGCTTCCAGGTTTTCCAGGGTAGTCTAGCTTCAACTGACTTATGATCTAAACCATTGGAATTATAAAAATGTTTTGATGATTCCTCTATCCTATTATTTATTGCTCTGATCAATCGATTATTATCATCACCATCGTAACCATGATTACAATCATGAGTACACTTTTCACTTTTAACATTATTCATATTATACATTATTATACACTATATAGACATATGAATAACCATAAAGATAGATCTTATAATGTAAACTAATCACCATATGATACTTAATATTGATTGAATTCTCTAATCAATGAGTTTTATTCGTACTTTACTGTATAACAAAGAAAAAAAATCAATTCTGTACTTCTATTTGAATTATTGATTCAATTTTGTGATCAAGTGTAATTATTTTAAGAAACTGAATAATCATAATTTATTGATTATCAATAACTTATAGATAATATTAATGGTTAATTATAGTAGGAAAAAATAATGTGTTGTAGCTAAGGTTCATGTTATTGAAATGAATGTCAATGATCTTTTATTATATGTAATAGATAGATATATATATACAAGTTCGGTTGGAGCCCCTCTTGAGCTAATGCCGATCCCAAGCCCGAACAAAAGAAGAGGGTTAGATATGAGGTTAGTGATGTTATCCCATCTCTGTAAAAAAACGCTAACCCGGGAAAAAAATAATTCAAACCAACAGATATATATATACGTAAACGAAACCATAGACTAGATGAGATTCGATAAAACTACCCAAAAGATACATTCGGGTCAATTTGATATTGGTGTAGATGTAAATCTAAGTGATCAGTTCTAGATAGGAAGAGATGTGTATTTTGGATCCTTTTAATGGAAAGAGTTGAAAATATAATGGAGAAAAATAATCAGATTGCTAAATGTTTAAATTATGACCAATTAACTAGAGTTAATAAGATAACTTGAATCCATCGAATGAATCAATGGATCATTCATTTAACCGTATTCATGTACTCAAAAAACTTAAGCATAAAGATGGATGATATTGTGCTTTATTGAATTATGTTATTTTTGATAAGTTATTCATTGCGTACAATAACGATGGGATCCAATTCAATGAAAATAAATATCACTCAACAACAAATGCAAGAGAAGACGAACAGTGCAGCAGCAGTCTCAGCAGCAGTAAGCCTCAACATACACGAAGGGAAAGGCAAGATTCTACGATACAACACAGAATGCACAAATCCAATCACAATTGACGGAGAAGGATTTGAAGATGTAAAAAGCTTTACATATTTGGACAGTATCATTGATGAACACGGTGGATGTGATGCAGATGTGAATGTGCGGATCGGTAAAGCAAGAGCAGCATATTTACAACTGAGGAACATCTGGAACTCAAAACAGCTGTCAACCAACACCAAGGTCAGGATTTTCAACACAAATATCAAGACAGTTCTACTGTATGGGGCGAAAACCTGGAGAACTACAAAAGCCATCATCCAGAAGATACAATTGTTTATTAACAGTTGTCTACGCAAAATACTTCGGATCCGTTGGCCACACACTATCAGCAACAACCCGTTGTGGGAGAGAACAAACCAGATCCCAGCGGAGGAAGAAATAAGGAAGAGGCGCTGTAAGTGGATAGGACACACATTAAGGAAAGCACCCAACTGCATCACAAGGCAAGCCCTCACATGAAATCCTGAAGGCCAAAGAAGAAGAGGAAGACGAAAGAACACATTACGCCGGGAAATGGAGATAGCCATGAGAGAAATGAACAAGAATTGGATGAAACTAGAAAAGAAGGCCCAGTACAGAGTGGGTTGTAGAATGCTGGTCGACGGCCTATGCTCCATTAGGAGTAACAGGCGTAAGGAATTAAGTGAATATTATACTATATGAAACATAATAAACACACACGAGTTACCAATGCATCGTTTGATCTTTACTGTCAAGTGAACTCAACTTAATATCTTGAGATAAAGCTACTAATCCAAGAGAGTCAAAATTTATTGTACTATGTTCAAACATGAAGTAGTCAGAAGCAATCGATAGTACATTCCACTTTTTCTTCTTTTGCTACTTACGATTTCTTAGCTGACTCAAAATCTTCAGAGAGTATCATTTCCTTTACAATGACTGATATGTGTAGTTAATAAATACCAACTAATACAAAACTTAGTTCAAGGGCTTCAAATTCGTTACCTAATAGTTGATAAAGCTAAAAAATTCATAAATCAACTATTCAGTAAATAACACTGTTTAAAAATTATTGATAAAGTTCACTGATCCTTCAAAACAGTCATTCAGTGTTACTGGTTTTCACTTTAGAGGTTGTGGAGATTGTTAATTTTTTTTGATTGAAATCATGAACCGATTGATGTTAGACCACCATAGAAAACCTGGAAGCACGAGACGGCCGTTTCGTCCTATTGTGGGTCTAACATCAGTCGGTTCATGATCTCAATCAAAAACTTAACAGTCTTTACAACCCCTACACTGATAATCATCATGTGCTCACTAGTGACTAGCTTCATAAGAAAATTCTCGGAGTTCTGGTGAGAAGCCGTGACCAGTGGAGTTAATCCGTGTCGGGTAGAAACAGGTGTCTACCCTAGTACAGTGGAAGATGGTCGCGCAACTTCTTGGATTGGTCGAGGTTAGACATTAACACTATTAGATGCCGGCCGGCTCACTGGTCCAGTAGGTTAAGCGTTTGCGAGCGTGATTGAAGGCCCTGGGTTCGAGTCCCTTGGGCGCGATCGTGGATGCGCACTGCTAAGGAGTCTCACAATAGGATGAAACGACCGTCCAGTGCTTCCAGGTTTTCAGTGGTGGTCTAACATCAATCGGTTCATGATCTCAATCAATTAACAACTTTATTATAGATTAGTCCCACCATCCTGATAAGAAATCTAAACTCCAAATTCGTAATGAATAACACTGGATATGAAGATAACATAAGACGACATGAACTAGGAGAGAGAAACGAAAATGGGAAGAGATTTGCAAATCTCTATGTGGATTCAACATATTGATTATAGGCAACACAATATTCCCAAAATAAACACATATACAAACCTAAATAGATCACACCGGATCACATACCCAAGAACCATATAGATCATATCTTGATATCAATAAAAAAATTTCACAAAGTCAATGAAAAAACATAAAGACTAGGAGAGGAGTTGATAGTAGCTTCAGATTATCATCTGGTTATATCCAAGATAAAGAACCATGGAACAATTGAAGAAACAACAATACAAAAGTTTCAATGGTTGAGATCATGAGTCAGTTGAAGCTAGACAACCATGGAAAACCTGAAAGCACTGAACGGCCGTTTCGTCCCATCGTGGAACTCCTCAGCAGTGCGCATGCACGACCTCGCCCCGTGCGAGATTCGAATCCGGGACCTACTGGTTTCGCGCGCGAGCACTTAACCACTAAACCACTGAGCCGGCATCGAACGTTGTTAATGTCCAACTTCAACTAATCCACGAAATTGAGCGACACATTCACCATCTGATATTAATACAAAAGTTCACTACAATCTCTCTCTCTCTCTATAAGACACGAACAAACATTTAGCTTCAATGAACTCATAATCTTAATCATTATAAATGATGATAAAATAGAATTTAATGTTAACTTACAAGAGAATGTATTCCCCATTTGTAATAATAATCTAATAGATTTTCACTTTACTTCATTCTATTTGATGTTTATTTTTGTCATGTTTAATTAAAGCAATTTGTTTATTATCTAATTCTTCATCATTAAATGAATATGGAGTTCTTGTTGTTTGTTTCTTCTTTTAAATCAGTGAACTCAATTCTCTTATAGAGAAACACAATACAAACTACAATGAAACATTGATCAATCAACTAGAACACAATACAAATGAAACATACTTTATGGAATTTACATTACAAATGATATCCAATTAAATCTTAGTTACTTTTTATAAAGAAAAGTGTAAAAAATGAAATCGATTTTTTTATATATATATATATATGTGTGCGTGTATGTGTGTGCGTGTGTATCAATCTGATAAAAGTGCTATACTAACTAATTGATTGATTATCAGTATTGGTAATAAGTTCAAGTGAATGGAAATGTTGAAGTCAAACATTGAAGTGACTATAAACATGTTTCATCTTCTATTCAAGAAGATTTGAAAGGTGAATCAAGTGACGATGAAATGGAAAGAAGGACATCTCATCAAGATTCCAAAGAAAGAAGATCTGAGCAAATGTGAAAACTAGAGAAGCATTACACTAGTGTCAATACCAGGGAAAGTCTTCAACAGAGTGTTACTAGACTGAATGAAAGACCCAGTAGAAGCCCAACTTCGAGATCAACAAGCTGGATTCCGTAAATATCAATGGTGCACAGACCAAATTGAGTGGAACTCGTCACTGCACATCAACTTCATTGACTATGAGGGGGCGTTCGACAATGTAGATAGGAGGACATTATGGAAACTTCTTCGACACTACGGAGTTCCTGAGAAGATTGTCAATATTATCCGGAACTCATACAACGGACTACAATGCAAAGTCGTGCATGGAGGACAGCTGACAGATGCATTCCAAGTAAGGACCGGAGTCAGACAAGGCTGTTTACTCTCTCCCTTCCTCTTTCTTCTGGTGGTCGACTGGATTATGAGGACCCCTACATCTGAAAAAAAACACGGAATACAATGGACAGCTCAGAATCAATTAGACGATTTGTACTTCGCAGATGACCTAGCCCTCCTATCGTGTACGCACGAACAGATGCAGAAAAAGACAGACAGTGTAGCAGCAGTCTATGCATCAGTAGGCCTCAACATACACAAGGGGAAAACCAAAGGAAGAACAGCAATCCAATCACTCTTGATGGCGAAACTCTGGAAGACGCAGAATTCTTCAAATACCTGGTCAGCAGCAGCATCGATGAACAAGGAGGTTCAGATGCAGACGTAAAGGCGAGGATTGGCAAATCAAGGAGAGCATTCCTACAATTGAACAACATATGCAACTCAAACTATGTAAATAAATTTTAATTACAAACTAATATTTTCCCTTTTCCAATTTATTTTAAAATTTGTTTCCATGATAACATTATTTGTGAATTTTGCATGCATATGTATTTGTGTTATTCACTTGGCACTGTTTTACTGGTATCTTCCCATTGTTGTTTAAGGCCGAAATTCATCAGTCTCTAGTTGACATATGTACGTCCGTCAGGACTATAATATATGGGCGACCTTTGAACGACGCTGAAGTGACCTTCAGCATGTCCACCTAACATCTACGATCAAATGAGGGTTATAAACCGGTGTGAGAAATTAGAATTCAGATTTGCAGTTGATGGTTAGGGTTAGGAATTGAATTCAGGGTTTTCATCACAAACTGACATAAACTATAATGCCAAGGTGCTATTTTGCCAAATGGATGGGTGAATTTCGCGCCAAAATCCGAGACCTGTAATCTTATATGTGATCGGTTCGTCCATAAATTATAGCCACTTCGTGCATCCTGTGCTGACTGCATCGATATTGCCTTAAGTCACAAGTTCTGTAAGCAAAGATGGATAGTGGTTAGCAGTGGAATCCAGTTTGACGCGCGTTTCGTCCTATTTGGGACTCGTCAGGTGGATATATCTACATCCCAGAGTTGATGTTCATTCTAGGACTGAGTTGTGTTCTTATGGCCTGTTAATTCTCACGTGATGCGATCACGAAGTAGAACACTGACCTACTGACCAGGTCAATGATGCATAAACCCGTATGAGGAGTCCAGAGTCAATTGGACCATAGAGATAGTAGCTTCCCTCCTAACCCAGCCGGTTTAGTCTAAGGTACTAATATCAGCATCCGATATACGAATAATGTATATCAGACATAATGGGTTTATTTATTAAAAAAGCAGACCGCACCATACCGCAAAACAGAAAATACCAATTATACAAGACCAAACCAAAAAGTGGATGTGATTGTGAGAGATTGCTACAAATAAATTGAGAATATCTTAAGAATAGTAAATCATATAATAATAGTCAATAGATCAAATAAAATCTCATAATAAAGAGAATATGAATATACATTTGATATGATTACCTAATAGTCATACAAAACTTACTACTTACTTACTTACTTACATACTCCTGTTAATCCTCGTGGAAGACCATAGGCCACTCACCAGCATTCTCCATCCAACCCTGTGCTGAACAATCCTTTCCAGCTCCTTCCAGTTGTTATTCATGCTTTTCATATCTGCTTCTATTTCCCAACGTAATATGCTCTTCGGCCTTCCTGTTTTCCGCTTTCCTCCAGAATTCTAAGTTAGGTATTGCCTCGTGATTTAACTTGATGATTTCCGTAATGTATGTCCTATCCATTTCCATCGTCTTTTCCTAATTTCTTCTTCACACGGAAACAAGTTTGTTCTCTCCCACAAAAGGCTATTCCTGATGGTATCTGGCCAATGGATATTGAGTATCTTGCGTAAACAACTATTTATGAATACTTGTATACTTGTATATAACTCAGGTAGCGAACCCTACCCAGTCATACCGTATACATTTCCGAATTTCGGATGTAGCACTCCGGTTAGCGTTTTTTAGCGAGTTAGTTTTCTACGGGAGGGGCTCGCTAACCCCATGTCTAACCCTCCTCCTTTACCCGGGCTTGGGACCGACAGTAACTCTAGAAGAGCTACAGGCGGAATTAGTCATACAATTAGGATATATATAATAGTCCACAAATAGATCCTAGAGGTTACTATTCACTTATTCTTCGTCCGAATATAACAATTTGTTGTGAAGTTCTCGGAGAAAAACTTAAAGTGCGTTTTCTCTAAAGATTAATATCATTTAAGGAAGATCAAGAACACGGGATAGTTGTTTTATCCTGCTTTAGTCATTTTTAGCAGTACGCAACTAGACTCGGAACTTTGAAGTTACATGATGAGAGAGCGTTTCTTATACACCAGAGAATGTTAGAATCTATGGATGTAAATTCCCAGTTGGAAGCATCTTGACAATCGTTAATTTCATGACTATTTTTATTGATACATTCATTTAAAACAAATCTCACTTTTAATCTCATTTAGTTAATTCACATCATTCAATTTATTACATATACGTCGATTACTAAAATGAAATGATATTCTGAAAATAATTAAAACAACTATGATAATTCACTTGGTATTGTTTGGCTTGTATCTTCCCATTGAGGTTTAAGACTGCAAATGATCAGTCTGTTATTGGCATATGTACATACTGTGCGTATGCCTTGATATTGCCTTAATTCACAAGCTTTTTGTAAGTAATGATGAATAATGGCTAGCAGTGGAATCCAGGACGCAAGTTTCGTCCTAATTGGGACTCTTCAGCTGGATGTACCTGCACCTCAGAGTTGATGTTCACCCCGGCACTCGAACCCAGTACCATTCGCTTCAGACGCCATCGCTTTATCCAATCAGCTACTGAGTCCTGATAGCAACTATGACAATTTACAGGCATGATCAGTTACATACACAGAGCAATGTTACATGTAAAGAACAGAGATATGTAATTTGACTGGTTGAAATGATGTGATTTGTAGTGTCGGTTACTATGTTAAGTCCACTTAGCTTATTCTACCTTCTGAACAGGTCAAATTTATCCATTCTTCTTGAGTCATATTTTCACTTATCAACCGTGACTGTTTTTCTTATAAGCTTAAATGTGTGCACTTTTTATCCCTATTCATCATATGTCTGTGACGTAATTTTGTGTGACTATAAATATCGATTCAAGCTTGGTGAAACGGGTGTTAGTTCACACGCCATATCCACTGTATGTCATTTCACTTCAATCTCTTATCTTCTCCAATTTTCTATCTGGATCAACGATTGAAATATACGTATTCGAAATTTAATCTCATATTTGACTTATTTAAATCCGTTATACACCATCGCAAGTGAAGTCGATAATTCTATACGTGAATTGACGATATGTATATTTCAGGAACAATCATCATGCGATCTAACTGGATTCAGATTCAAAACTATCAAAGATTCACAAATTGTTTTGAGGGAACTTTTGCCACAAACATTACAACAATGTGAATCAATGACCCTTATCGTTAATGAAACGGTTTCATCCTAAACCCTGTATCTATGTGAATAAATTTACTAGTAAATTTTAAAGACCGAAATAATGACGAGGAATCTGTCTTTAAGCACCCTAACTTGGAATCCTGAAGGGAAGCGGAAAAGAGGAAGGTCTAAGAACACATTACGTTGGATAAAAGAAGCAGATATGAAAAGGATGAATAACAACTGGAAGGAGCTGGAAAGAATTGTTCAGGACAGGGTTGGATGGAGAATGCTGGTGAGTGGCCTATGCTCCTTCACGAGGATTAACAGGCGTAAGTAAGTAAGTAAGTAATCTGTCTTTAAAATTACAATCATCATTTGTTTAGTATATCGATGATCATTGCTTCATTGATTCTATTTTAAAAGCATCTACACTAATAACTACAATCCATTTCACTAGTAAAATCATAAGAACATTAAATTTCCAATCATTGTTATTACTGAGCTCACTTATTATACTTCGATTCCCACAGACGTTTTGATGAGACTATAATATATGGACGAACTAATCAGGTTTATGACAAAATTACTTGCATTTTGGCGCGA